GTGTGTGTGTGTGTGTGTGTGTGTGTGTGTGTGTAAAACAAATTCTTCAGAGCCCTAATTCTGCTTGGGGACAGAGAAAGAGCAAGAGAATGCTCACCAGCAGAGGGCTAAAATTACTGTGATTATTTCACGAAGAATTTGTTTGGATTGGAGACGCTGGGTGGTACAAATGGTTCACACACTTACTGCTAATCAAATGTTTGGAGGTTCAAGTCCACCCAGTGGCACCTGGGAAGAAAGACGTAACGATCTACCTCTGGTAAATCAACCACTGAGAGCACAATTGAACATAGGTCTACTCTGTCACTATGGGGCACAATGAGTCAGATTCTGCTAAAGGCAACTAGTGCTGGTATTGTTGGGTTAAAGAAGAAAAGGGAAGTAGGACATCCTTTGGCCCCTGTCCCTTGGTTCCCTGGGTCCCCCCACCCCCTTCTGATTGCCTAATTTGAAAGACCTATCCCATATTTGGCAAGGTTGTATAATATACAAAATTATGATCCGTAGATACAAGCTAATTCAAGTTATGTTGGTATTATCTATGAATTTGTTTTCCATTTTAATACTTTGGATAAAGTAAATCCATTTCTGATGTTCAGTTTTATCCTACTGGTCCTAAAAGAACATTTAAATTATATTTCAAGTAGGTCAAAACTTCAAAAACCAAATTTATTGCTATTGAGTTGATTCGGACTCATAGTGACCCTATGTGACTTATGACCCTTTAACCGAAGTAGGCCATATGACACTAATTAAGGGGCATTTTATCAAACCCCCCCCCCCAATATTTGTTAGATTTTTAAGAATGCTGTGAACTGCAGGGAAGAATAACTAGATGTAGCAGACACTGGTGCTGAACATGACCCCTGCTATTTCCTTTCCAGAGAGATGTTTTCCATGATCTTGGCAGAGGAATTCTGGACAATGCCTGGGAAGGCTATAATGCTACTCTCCTGGCCTATGGCCAAACTGGTTCTGGAAAAAGCTATTCCATGATTGGATTTGGTGCAAACAAGGGTATTATTCCAAATGTGTGTGAAGAACTCTTTCAAGCAATTGAGAACCAGGAGAGAAATCAAGAATACCAGGTATATATTATCCAAGAATCCCTACTTTGAAGGATTTCTTTTCTTTCTTTCATTCTTTTAAATTTAGAAAACACCTTCAATGGAGATTATCAGCATCTCTATTTAAGGATAATGTTCATTTTTCATATCAAAGCATTCATTTGATTTTTCTGGTTTTATGGAGGAAAACCAAAGGAAATATTTTTTAAAGGCATTTTTGGAATAATAGAAGCAGACATTTTATTTTTTCTATTATTTTTGTTTAAATTACTTTACTGGGGGCTCGTACAACTCTTGTCACAGTTCATCCATCCATCCATTGTGTCAAGCACATTTGTACATTTGTTGCCATCATCATTCTCAAAACATTTTCTTTCTACTTGAGCCCTTGGTATCAGC